TAGCCTTCACTTTTCTCCCCTTCACTCATTCTGCTTTAGTCTTCAGGCCTCCTAGCAATGCCTTCAACATGCTTAATGTATACGAACTCTCTACTCCCCTCTTTGTAATGCATGCTCTCCCCAGGTGCCCACAGGGCTTTAACCCTCACCTCCTACATGTCTTTGCTCAAATGTCACTTTCTCTGACCATTTAAAACTGCAAGTTCATACCCCAGTTGTACTTCTCCTTCTTTCCTTGCTTTATTTTTCCATTATACTTACCACCTTCTAATATACCATACAATTCACTTACTTTTGTTGTCTGTCTCCACCAGTAGAACATAAGCTCCATAAAAGCAAGAGGTTTTATTTTGCTTAGGGTAACCCTAGTATGTAGAGTGATGCCTCACACATATTAGATACATCATAGATGTTTGGTGAGTAAATAATATAGGAACCACCACAACTGCCAACAGCAACAATAAAAACAATTAAAACGGATCCAGGATTCAGGAATTTGGCAGGGAGTACTTTTCTCTAGCTTACGTTCATCGTCCCATACAAATGCAAGTCCCTCCTGCAGTTGAGAGTTGATAAAAGTAACATAAAACCTATCTTTTTGAGCTACTTGGTTTTGTTGGGTTTCATATATATTACAAATAAATTTTAAAACATCATTTTATTAATCTGACACCAACTCACCTTACCCAGCAGAGCAAAAATATCATTTCCATCTTGTAATCCCTCTTCAAAATACCTTAGTGCTTTTTTAGTGTAAGGTTCTTTTCCTCTTGTAATATCAAGCCATGCTCTCAAAACCTGTCCCTGTAAAATGAATAATTCTAATATTTTCATTTTTTTGGAAATGAAAGAAATAAATGTTGATGAAGAAGTTAAGCTAAGCATCATTCTTATTTGTAATTAGTAACAAAAATCAGTCTATCAAATAATGTTATGAAAAATAAGACTGCAATAAAATCACTTTTAAACCCTTGCTAGCCTACAGTCTTGGAACTATTATGAATTTCAGCCTTTAAGATTACTACTGTGGTTAATATTAAGAAGCTTGTAAAATATTCCCTTAGTACTAAATAACCAATATTCTTACATGGGGCTTTGCTAATAAATTACTAATAACTACTAAACATGTAATTCAATACATAAATAAGAATTTGTTACCTCTTTTTGGGGAAATAGACCAAATGAACTAAGATGGGAAAAAAGAAGTGCTTTGCTTCACATTTATTAAAAATTAAGATAATTTGGCAACTATCTCAATCTTTTTGACTAGTCCGGTGAGCTTCAAATGAAAGGATAAAATGGCCTCAGAAATTAAAAAATGAAGAAACCATGAATGTTTACCTTCAGAAATGTTAGTGAGCCAACGGACAGTAAGGTTTATAGGATTAGAAAGAAGATGAATACACGTTGATTATTTTTCTTTTTAATGCCAAATAAAAAATTACGAAATCTGCTCATCTGTCAAAAAATTTCTAGGTTAATTAACAAACCTTATAAATCTTTAACTAAGATCATATTTACTTCCCTATATTTCACCTGAAAAGACAGGTAAGAATACCTAAACAGGGCTTCCCTGGTGGCGCAGTGGTTGGGAGTCTGCCTGCCGATGCGGGGGATGTGGGTTCATGCCCCGGTCCGGGAAGATCCCACATGCCACGGAGCGGCTGGGCCCGTGAGCCATGGCCGCTGAGCCTGCGTGTCCGGAGCCTGTGCTCCGCAACGGGAGAGGCCACAACAGTGAGAGGCCCGCGTACCGCAAAAAAAAAAAAAAAGAATACCTAAACAATTTTATTTCTACTCATTAGATCACTGTACTTTCTTGAATCATTTCAACTGTGTGGATGATTCCCAACCTCTATTTCTAGTCCAATACCTTTTCTAATTTTTTCTCTTCTTTTTCTAGAAGCTCATCTACTGTCTCCATCTCACTGTTCTGTCAGAGCCTGAAATATAGAATGTCTAAAACCAAACACATCACCTCCCTCCAAGATTACCTTCTCATCCCAAAGTATTTTCTAGTCACATTAACTGGTCTCTGAATTGTCCAGGCTTAAAACCTCAGAGACATCCTTGATATCTGACACCTCAATATCTTTCCCCCCAATATTTATAATAAGTTGAAAAGTCCTGTGGGTATTTGATAATTCTCAAATTCTTACCTGAATTTGATAAACTGAATAGTATTTTAGCGTAGGCCCTTAAAGCCTTCTGCCAGAAAGTACTATCTTTGGGGGCCTGCATTCTGGTTTCTTCCCAGGTCAGTTCATCCTATAAACCTTTGCTAAATTCACCTTCTGAATTTGCACTTTAATAACATCACTGACATGATTAAAACTCTTCAATGACCCTCAGTGCATATCAAATTAGATACAAGTATTTGTACCTAGCCATCAAGATCCTTCAATTTGTCCCAACCCACTTTTCCAACCTTTTCTTCCACCCTCTTCTTCTCTGTACCTTGTATTCCCATCAGGTGTAAGGTTCTCACTGTACCCAGACCTGCATGTCTCCTTGTTCTTCTCCTTTCTGTCTATTATCTCCCACCTTGGGAGTACCTACTTCCCTTTTCCATAATCTTTGCCTGTGGAAACTGTATCCATCTTTCAGGTTTTAGCTCAAATGCTACTTCCTTCAAGAAATTCTTCTTCATTCGCCTAACAGTTATCGATGTGATCTCTCCTTGAGTACATAAAATAGTGCCTAGCACGAAGTAAATGATCAATAAATGTTAACTATTATTTTCCTGCACATTTTAATCACACTTCTCTCATTCCATTTGTCAATTTTCTCACAATGTTAATTGGGTGTGTGCTCTATAACACTGCTAGATGATCCATTCATGAAAGTAAAGTTTATGTATTTTTTATCTTTCTATTATTAACAGTGCAAATAATGGTGCCTTGTACCTAGAGCAGTTCAATAAGGAGAGTGGGAGGGAAGGAAGGAGAAAGAAAAGGAGGGAAGGGAGGGAAGGAACCAGGGAGGGCTCTTGTCAAGAGTTAATAAATAACATTAAAAAAAAACAAGCTTAGAGAACCAATTTTATAAAATAATAAAATATTAAAATAAGGCTGTTATTTATAAAATGAGAATAGAGTGGGCAATAACAAAGCTTTTATATAAATAACATAAGCTTCCTTTAATGTTAGTATTTCAAAATAAGAAAACCAGCTACCTCTTTACTACCATTTGACATTTTGATCATTCGGTCAACATATTCTCTCGCCTTATCGTGACGACCAATGTGCCACAAAAATAAGCCTGCATGGTACAAAGCTTTTGGTCCAGCTCCTTTACGCTGCTCCTTCACTCTGGCATCTGATTCCTGAATAGCTTCTCTATCTGGGAGAAGGAAAAAAAGACATTAAGTGAAAATTAAATTCTAGATTTAGAGTTTATAATAGGTCAGATAACTAACAGCAAAGAATACAGTTCTTCTCTCTACAGCAGCACTAATACAAATAAAATGCAAGCCACATATGTAATTTAAAATTTCCTAGTAGCCACATCACGGAAGTAGAAACAAGTAAAATTCACTTTAATAATATATTTTATTTAACCCAATATATCTAAATTATCATTTCAACACATAATTGATTTGAAAATTATTAAGAAGATACTTTTCTTTTTTTTCGTCTTACTAAATCTTTAAAATCTGGTATGCACTTTACACAAAGCACATCTCAATTAAGATGCGAAATTTTCTTCAGCAAATTTTTATAGTGAGATTTCATAAAATTTATTTTGGAAAAAGCAGAATCATATACTTGTTCTAAACATAATTTTTCTAACTGAATCAAGCATCAGTTTTAAATTTTAAAGTAAATTAATTAGAATTAAAATTTAAAACTCATGTCCTCAAACGAGACACATTTCATGTGCTCTACAGCCACCTGTGGCTAATGACCACTGTGACCACACTACAGTTCTATAGTTCATGTCATTCTCAAGACATAAAGGCTATATATGCAAATATTTTTTTAAATACTAAGATGAAAAAGTTGGCAATGATTCTAAAATGAGACAATTATTAGGGGCAAATTCAGAACTAGGAGTCAAATTACCCTACTTCCTAATCCAATTCTACAATATATGTCCAAGCCAGGCTGCTGTCACAGGTTAATGAAAGGTAGTATAATTACTACTTATATAGTTAATACTGACTGCTCCCTTAAAAAGATGGTCTACGCCTAGAACTCTAATCACTTCTATTTAATCTGTTATGTAAATGCTTGGGACACAAATGTCAGTTAGATCCAAATCCCAGGTCGAATCAAAATGTGGATCAGCTAGCCAATAGAAAGAAGAAATGTCAAAGTTGAGGACTGAGAGTCTAACAGACTACCTTTCTGGTAATGGCTACCAAGAAAAGGTACGTGACTCCTCCTTTTATCTCTAAGGATACAAATTTAAATTTAAATGTGGAATTACCAAGGTACAACTTTACGAGTTTAGGAAACAAAATTGTACTCTGGAGGGCTAGAGATTGCTTGGCAAGGGACCCCTTCTGCCCTGCCTACAGCACACCCACTGCAACACCTTCAGAAGTTCTCACTAAATAGGCATGATACAGAAACAGAACTTATGAGGCAGGAGCAGGCATTGTACCTTCCTGCCCAGATTTCCGTCAAGTCCCCTAGTGGGGCATCAGCTAGCTGTGATAGTCTGCATAAAACTAGTTCTTTCCAGATATCAGCTCAAGTTCTTAATGCATCACAGCCCTTTAATAAACAGGGCTTACATTAGCATTCAGGAAGAATGTACGAGAACAATGTAGGCTCTTCCTAGGCGAGACAGACAGACATCTGGGCCTCTCCTGAGCTCAAGCGCACTCAGCATTATTATGGAGGAAAGTCAAGTGACTGACTACTCAGGTGTCTCTAAACAATCCCGGAAATCACATTCTCTAACAGAACCAGTACTCTTGGGAGTAACCAATTAAATAAAAACTTGATTCTAGGAAGAAAACAGTTTGTTAATTTCTCTTTTTTTTTTTTAAGGCTTACTGACTACAGCTCTCCTACACCAATTCTCTGCTCCAGCTACACACACCCCTGCTGGAACATAAAGGAAGGGGATCCAGAGATGAACCTAATCCTGAACCACTTCCACATATTTGCCCATCGAGTTCTCCTGTCTGAGAAGATTAAGTCCCCATTTCCACAGTCTTCCCAGCCTACTCCTATGGATAAACAGTACATGCCATTTCCCCGCACTTTCTTAAAAGTTTTAGAAAGCATTTAGTCGTAGATTTGTTTATGAACTAAACATAGTGTTTTAAGTAACTTTTTATTTATTTGTACAAGTATATGTGGGTGAAGGATGTAAGTGATACTTTGCTTAAGAAAAAACTGTTTCTTAATATTTAAAAAACTTTATGACATTTGGTAATTGTTTAATTATTTGAAATAAGATCTATTTTTACAATGCTATTAGCTGTTACTGGATATATATGGATGAATACAATACAATTTCTTTTTTATTACCTAGAATTCCAATACTGTTCTGCCTCAGCCATTAAGATGTGCTATGTATTAAGACAGTTCACACAATTTTAATTGCTGGTTTATGTATAAAGTTCCTTCTTTAACTTAACCATATTTCCCAACCTACTACCGGATAAAAATTTACTGAATGTCTTCCAAAGAGCTAGCCCCCCTGGGGGATGTAAAGGCTTTTAAGAAGCTCAAGATATAGTAGAAGAGAGAAACTGCATGTAGCTGTATATGCACAAAACAAGTTGTAAAGTTGGCTGCTACAGAGTAATTTATGTATATACCTGTTTTGAGCTGTCCTTTCTTGGTTTAACCATTGCTAGTATTTATTCACCTTTACATTAATTCAAACAATCCCTACATACTAATGAAACTTCTGCCATAGGATATAAGGAATATGAAAGCAACAGAAGACGCATATTTCTCTTGCTTGATGAACTTAGTCTTGTCAGGAAGATAAAACAACTATGACAAATAGTATCTATTTGTATCATATGAAAGCAATATGTATCATATGAAAGCAATAGTATCATATGAAAGCAATATGAAAGCAGAAGACCCATATTTCTCATGCTTGATAAACTTAGTCTTGTCAGGAAGATAAAACAACTATGACAAATAGTGTCTACAGGTAATATATAATACAGTATGATTAGACTGAATGTTAAGGTAACTGAGAAAAATCAAAATGAATTGAGTAGAAAAAACTGTCTAAGCATTGTACTTAAATACTATACCTGGATTGGGACTCATTTTATGAGTGTATATCAGTGCAATTAGAGAACAAAGTGATACATCTTGTTTATTTTTAATAGCCTCAAATTCTCGAAGAGCTTCTTGAGTTTTACCTGAAAATCAAAATTACGAAGTGAAAATTGTTCTTTGTGCAAAACAAGAATTTAAAACTTATGGAAATGTTTAATAATTAGCACATACCTTCCATTAATGTACCATAGGCATAATAAAACCTGAAGACGGGATCACTGCCATACCTCTTAGTTCCCTCACTGGCAGCAAGTAACACATGATGGAAATATCTCTCTTGACAATAGTAATTAATCAAAGTCTAAGAGGAAATAAAGACTAAATGTTAAAAGAGATTCTGATGTTCTGAAATACTCTAAGCAGATATTAACCTAAGATCTTGAGTAATCTAAAACTTCGATAACGTATTTTTTTCTTCCAACTTCCTTAAATACTGTTAAAGGCTAGCACTTAAGGAATGTAGAACACAGTGAACACAAAATTATTGAAATAACTCAATGTTGTCTAATAATTTCAATCTTTTTTTTCTGAACTATTTCTTAACAATACTGAAGTCAGGGTATTTTCACCTCTTTCCTTTCCTCACATTTTCTTAAGGTTTTAGAAAATGGGAAAGCAGACAAAAAGTAGGAATTAAAAAAAAAAAAAGACAAGAGGCTCCCACTGCCAGACCAGATCTATTTTAAAAACAAAAACCCTTCTATTTTGTTTTTATAGCATCACAAAGTAATGACCAATTAAACTCAGCAATTGACTGTCAAAGGTTATCTTGTTTTCTGAGTTCCACAACAAATAACTGTCAGTAAAACAAAGGATCTATTTTTTAATGGAAATCACTATCATTAGGCTTTTTTCAAAATTATATTATTTATACATGAAGCAGAAAACTAGTATCAGGAGATACAAAGTTCTGATTAATTGGATCTCCGCTTTTCACCATTTTTCTCAGGATCACGTCTAAGGCTTAGTTGCTAACCTAATCAAAGAGGGAAGCCATATTCACCATCACCGTGATATACCTGATTCACTCCCACAAACCAATTCGGGCCATCCCATACCTCCCTAGTCTGACTCTTCAGCTGGTTCAGCAGGAGCAAGAAATATAGATGAAGCACTGATTGACAGGATTAAAATGAGTGTCTGAACAGCTTTTTTTTTTTTTTTTTTTTTACAGTCCATTGTTTCTGGAGGGCTACAGTCCATGTGCTTCTCTAGAACAGTCTGGCAAACATCCTCCGACTTTTACTCTGCTTCCCTCCTGTGGTTACTGTTCTCCAGTCCCTTCTCAGCCACTGTTTCTTCAAAGTGTGATCTGGACACCAATTCCAAGACCCCCGCAGCACACCTCAGGAAAGTGCAGTTTTCCTCCAGAGCCCTTTCCCTAGGGTTGCAAATGACTTCTTAGTTTGCCACAACTAAGGACACTTTTAATATGATCTTACTTGACTTCTGTCCAGCGTTTAGTATCACTAAGCACCTATAACTCTCCTAAAAGGCAGTGGCATGGTATCATAAAAAGGACATGGATTTTAAGACCTGTTTTCAAATTTCCTGTCCATCTTACAGCCGCTCAGTTTTGCTCATTTGTAAAATGCTGGTAGTCATTTATAGGTCATTGTAAGGATTAATTGAGATACCATACTGTAAAACTCCTATTCCAAAAAAAAAAAAAAGTTCCTCCAAACCCCAAATGTTGATGATATAAAAAAAAAAAAAAACACGTGTCCAGCCAAGACTTCTCATCGCAGCTCCCGATTCCTATTTCAATTTCCCCAAAACCCAAGCCAGACATCGGGTCAGGAATCCTCTCTTCCTGTTTGCACAGTCCCCATAAGTCTAACCAGTCAGTAGGTTCTTCTGTTGTTCTAGTCTGCTTCCCACTCCCTGCACCTATTTCCACTGCCTTGGTTCAGGTTAGGTTGTTGAATCCAACAAACATTTACTGACTGCTACGAGTGCCAAGCACTGGGCTAGGTACGGTGAACATGAAGATGAATAAGATATGATTCCTGTCCCAGAAAAGCTTAAAATTTTCAACTGAGACTAGAATCTAAAGACTATTTGAACCCACGTACCTACGGTCAATTAATCTTCCACAAAGGAGATAAGAATATACAATAGAGAAAAGACAGTCTCTTTAGCAAGTGATGCTGGGAAAGCTGGACAGCCGCATGTAAATCAATGAAGTTAGAACACATCCTCACACCATACACAAAAATAAACTCAAAATGGCTTAAAGACTTAAATATTAAGACATGACACCATAAAACTCCTAGAAGAGAGCATAAGGCAAAACATTCTCTTACAGAAATGTACCAATGTTTTATTACGTCAGTTTCCCAAGGTAATAGAATTAAAAGCAAAAATAAACAAATGGGACCTAATCAAACTTAAAAGCTTATGTACAGCAAAGGAAACCACAAACAAAATGAAAAAACCTATGGAGTGAGAGAAAATATCTGCAAATGATGTAACTGACAAGGGCTTAATTTTCAAAATATACAAACAGCTCAAACAACTCAGGAAAAGAGAAAAAAAAAGCCCAACAACCCAATCAAAAAATGGGCAGAAGGGGCTTCCCTGGTGGTGCAGTGGTTGAGAGTCCGCCTGCCGATGCAGGGGACGCAGGTTCGTGCCCCGATCCGGGAGAATCCCACATGCCATGGAGCGGCTGGGCCCGTGAGCCATGGCCACTGGGCCTGCGTGTCCGGAGCCTGTGCTCCACGGCGGGAGAGGCCACAGCAGTGAGAGGCCCGTGTATCACAAAAAAAAAAAAAAAAAAATGGGCAGAAGACCTAAATAGACACTTTTCGAAAGTAGACATACAGATGGCCAACATGCACATGAAAAGATGCTTAACATCGTTAATTTTTAGAGCAATGCAAATCAAAACTACAATGAGGTATCACCTCACACCGGTCAGAATGGCCATCGTTAAAAAACCTACAAATAACAAATGCTGGAGAGGGTGTGGAGAAAAGGGAACCCTCCTACACTGTCGGTGGGAATAAAATTGGTGCAGCCATTATGGAAAACCATATGGAGGTTCCTCAAAAAACTAAAAATAGAGTTGCCGTATGATCCTGCAATCCCACTCCTGGGCATATATCCGGAGAAAATTAAAAAAGATACATGCATCCCAATGTTCACAGCAGCACTATTTACAATAGCCAAGACATGTAAACAACCTAAATGTCTACTGACAGGTGAATGGATAAAGAAGATGTGTGGTGTGTGTGTACACACACACACACACACACACACACACACAGGAATACTATTCGGCCATAAAAACGAATGAAATAATGCCATTTGCATCAACATGGATGCAACTAGAAATTATCATACTAAGTGAAGTAAGAAAGAGAAATACTGTAGGATATCACTTATACGTGGAATCTAAAATATGACACAAATGAACTTATCTATGACACAAAAACAGACTAAGACACAGAGAAGAGACTGATGGTTGCCAAGGAGGAGGGGGGTGGGGGAGGGAGGGATTGGGAAATTGGGGTTAACAGATGCAAACTATTATATAGATAATGGATAAACAAGTTCCTACTGTATAGCACAGCGAGCTATATTCAAAATATTCAAATTTCAGTGTCCGTAAGTAAAGTTTTATCAGAACAAAGCCATGCTTAAGTATTGTCTACAGCTGCTTTCATGATACGATGGCAGATTCGATGCCACAGAGACCCTATGGCCCATAAAGCTTGAATATGTACCACCTGGCCCTTTAAAGTTTGCTGTTCTACTTAAGGCTTCTGTTCTAGAACGTTAAGTAGAACAGGGATTACTGGATAACAAGGTTAGAAGAATGCTAGGGTCAAGAAGGGCCTCCTATTGAGTTGATCCTCTAAGAGATGAGGAGTTAAATCACAGTTTTTAGCACGAAAGCGTTTTTATTAAAAAGTTCATTTGGGTGGCAGTACAAAGGATAAATTTAAGGGGATGAAAATACTTAAGGGGATGAGGGAAGGCTTCACTGGAAGATCATGTAAAACTTCAG